TTTCACCAGATCATCAGCCAGGGAGCCCTTGACGGTTGGCGCATCAAAGCGAGATTTGAAGCCATTGTCCATCAAGGGCCAATCTTCTGCAGTGAAGCCATAGTCCTGGCAGAAATGATCCAAAACATCTTAAAATGAAGGGCACAACGAACATTTGACGCAGGCTCTCCTGGCCTGATGCACCGAGAATGAGTATGTAGGATTCTTTGTCCCAGGACCACGGCGTGCACAAAGAGGATCCTTGGGGTTCGAGAGGTTGATGGACCACATGTCTTTTCAGTGTGACGATTCTTGTAGAGGTGTTTTAGTTTTCATGGTATCGGTGGAACCCTTCCAAAGTTGTTGTCCACATACAGTAAAGCTAGCTGCCAGCCAATCCAAATCCAAAATATCCCTGTGTTTTCTTCGAGAAATAAACATCAAATACACCAGGAACTTCTGGTTGCAAGCATGACCCCTGCCAACGGTCACTCATTCATCACACGACTCAAACACCGAGTACACTCAAACCGCCAAGCCCCTACTCCCACTCGGGGTCAGAGCTCTACTTCCATTCTATAATCGAAGCGGGTGGCACTACATGTTTGGTATTCGGAAAAGGGTTTTTCAATTGGCCATGCCATCAACTTTCGTTCCATGGAGTGTATTCCCTTAGGAACCCAAAAAGAAGCTACTAGGGGCTCCTGGCATCACTACTAGGAGCAAGGACGCTACTAGGGGCTCCTGGCCGTACTACTAGTAACAACAAGCTATTAGAAACAATAAATATTGGTCTTCTCTAGTGCCTTCCCAGGCGGCCAACTCCACCTCTTTGGCACTGGGCATCAATTCCCTGACGACGTGGGTGGCGTCTGACGACGTGGGAACTCAACGATGGAAGCCACGAACAAAGGCCAATTTGAAGAAGGTTACAAAGACCAACAAATGGCCCTTCAAAGATCAACAAATTCGGATACATCGCATGGACGCTTTTGACTTCTGACAACTCTGATTCGGTGACGAATTTGAGCATGTTACACCACTGTAGCTGTCTGTGCAGCCAATAGTTTGTCAGAATTATTCTGCAGGGGCTGGCATGGAGAGGTTCCTGTTGTTTCCTTGATTCAAGCTTGCGTCGTACAGTCGGCACACCTTTCGAATCATGCGATTCATTGTGTATATGTATCGTAAACATGTTAAAACTATATATACACAAGATTCATCCATGCGAGAATCAGAATACTGTAAACAAACCTAAACTTCACAAAGCAAAGGAACTGCTCCACCCGAATAGCACTGTCATCTCTTACCATCTCGCCTTACCATCTCTTCGACTTCTTTGGCATAGATGCGAGAGACGGCAGTCTCTATCTTTGGCATACCAATGCCTGACATCACTTGGTTAGCACTGATTTGGTTGGTATTTCCAGCGCACGACCTGGATAACTGTGGCGAGAGACTGCGCGCCTTTATGAACCAGTGATGGAGTGCTTACTGGGCTGTTGTCAGCTGTTCAAGCAACTTCTTGAAGAATTGTCCACGCCTGTTCGCTCCTAAGATGTTCGATGCATTGGCCCAAAGCAACCTGGATTCTACTTTGTTTCAATCAACAATCTAAGGAAATGCACCACTGCCCCACATCACCTTGTCACATGCTTCTTCGCGCCATAGAAAGCATTACAGTGTCCATTCCTGCAAGTCCAACAGTTAGAAAGTTGACACATGTCCAAGTTTGAGAGGCACCCCGAAACTGCATCGTGGGCCTGTGAAGTTTGACAAATCCAAAGTTTTCGGCGCACATTGCATCCAGTCAGCAGCAGTCATGGCAGTCTCTTTCTTCAGCAGCACAAAACCATGCTTCTCAAAGAACTCTCTTTTCCTTAGAATGACCCACCACCGACGGAATGACCCAGCAATGCACGGTCACACCAAATCAAACGACATTATGTATCAAACAAACGTCAATACTTGTCCCAAAAACATTAATTCATACAGTAACTGACCAGGAGTTAGAATATAAAATCAATTAAAACATGAATTAGGATCTAATTCACTGAGGCAGACCTGGTAAAAATAGCACATAGAATACAATGCAGTTGGAATATGGTGGAGCAGCCATTGAATCAACACCATTGATCTTTATCACTTCCATTTGTAACTTTACTACAGTAAGCAAAGCATGCTTTATCTTTGGCATCCATTATCTGTTGGCACCTCCTCATTAAAGAAAGAATCATTGAGGAGTCAAGGAGCTAAGATGTATCACTTTTGTTTTGCCTCTTGTATATTCTAAGTGCATTGGTGTAGATTCTAAGTGCATGGAAGCTCCGAATTACAATTTTATATTCTAACTACATTCCTAATTCCTTATGTTGAATTCTAACAGCCAGTCACTGATAGTAAAGTTCTCCACATCAGCGGCAGCATCAGCACCAGAAAATGAGTGTTGACCCAAAAACCACAAACTCCAAAGTATGATCAACATACCAGCAACTCTGTGTCATTGTTCTCACCACCATTCGAGAAAGAACCGTTGTGATACAAAATCTGACCAGGCTCTACATGTATAAATGCGCACATCATGAGAAATCTCAACACCAGAAGTCCGTGAACTCAAAACACTTGGCAAAAGTCACGTTCAAGGTGCCATCTGTCCGACCGTCGTCCTCGGCTCTTTTGAAGAGCCCAGGCGCGACAAACCTTCTATTGCTTCCTGATCTCTTGCATTGAAGACCTTGACAACGACCTCATTGACAGGAAAATGGCCGCTGCCTTTTGAATGTCGACAAGCATGAACTCATACTCTATCAGACCTGGGGATCGCCTCAAATATCATCAAAATGGTGCTTTGCAAATATGGGTATGATCAAATAGTCCTGAAGTACGAGAACCGGGCCTCCTCTGAAGCTGTACCGGGCCTCCTGTTCTCTTGAGAACCGAACCGTCCCGATCACCTTCCAAAATAGGTCGACAAAACAAGACCAAACAACTTCTTCAGAACCCTAGGAACAAGAAGCTACTAGGAGCAAAGGGCATCGCTACTAGGAGCAAAGGACGCTACTAGGGGCTCCTGGCCTTACTACTAGGAACCAGGTTCGCTACGAGCGTAGCAAGACCTCACCGAAGCTCACCGAACCTCCGCACCCCGCGGTCCCCAGACCCCCCCCCACGCTTCCGCGTGGTCCCAGCGGCGTGCGGCCGCCGGACGTTGAGGAAGTATCGCCCGGTCTCCCAGACGCTGCGGAAGCTCAGCGGAGGCCACAAGGTGACCGGATGCCTCGAACGGTCGACGGTTCGACGCGAGGTGACCGGTGCTACGGGGCACCACGTTTAGGCACCACGGTACTAGCTTGGAGACGCAACTCGATTTCTGCTTGGAGACTGGATTTACTATGATACACTTTCCAAGTGACTGTGATTTACTTTCCAAGTTCAATTCAAGTGTGATACTGACTATGATGCTTCCATTGAACTGTGGATTCATTCAAACTCAAAACAACATTTTTCGCGTCGATGATATTCGGGCTGCCACAAGTCCTGCTCTCCCGTTCCCGAGACTTGCCAACTTCAAGCGAAGATCCACTCGCCCGGCTGGACGAAGCCTTTCTTGTGAAGTCCCATGAACCTCAGCAAATAATCAAAGGCACCGGTGCCTGCCTGACCAAAACTGTCCCATCAACTGGTGAAATTTCGGAAACCTCTGTCAGCTGCTTGTGACGGACTCCCAGTCCAGAAGCAATGCTCTGCACGCACGAAACAAGCATCCCGCATGGCAAACAAACCTTTTTGACCCTTGTGTCATCGAGTGCCAACAGTTACTTCAGAGGTCAAGTCACTGGGCTTCTACATAGCGAGCAGTCTCGCCGTTCTCGCACTGCACCACCTGTGGAACGGTGAGATGCCACGGTGAAGCGATCTGTCGATCGATCATGGGCACGTTGTGTGCGAATGTGTGGAGAATTGAAGCAAGCTGCCTTTATTATGGACCATGACTTCCTCGAGCATTGCTTCATCTTGATGGAAAACATAAATTCAAATGAAGGTAGCTAAGGGACGCTTCCTTCTCTAGCCTTTACAGACCATCCTTTCAGTGTCAATGTTGACCAAAACATTATATAAATATCATTAAATCATGTTGACTTATCAGGAAATGGGGCGGCTCCCAGTGTCCCTCCATCTGACCTTGAACTGGCGCCGTTCACATCTCTTGCGCCATGGGAAGGCCACAGCACAAGCGACGGGCGCTAGGCGCAGCATCAATGCAAAACACGTCTCCGTTGTCTCCGTCTAATGAGCATCTTGCCGGAATGAAATCTTCAGTGACATCTTGATGCAATTTGCTAATTTGCTTTAGGCACTCTAGTCGTCAATGCGACCTTCAGGATCTTCAGCAATTGTGCAGACAAGCAACATGTGTGTTGAGTCTGCTTTGTATAGGCAGGTTGGTTTAGTATGGTTTAGTGTTGGCACTCACTCTGTCCATGAACTCTGCCAACAGGACCTGCCGGCCAATGTCTGGCACGCAACTGCCATTCTTGTTGATACTTGGCACTCTTGCACGGTAGGAGTTTGTTGGTGCTCTTGTGTTCTTGCATTGTAGGATTGTAGGCATTGTGGCATACCATTTGACTCGGCTGTGGCAGCTACTTGGTCTTCTGGAAGAAGCAGCTACTGATCGGTCAGATAACAACAATCCATGGTCCTTGACTGTGGAATAGTCTCAAGTGTGTGATACAAGCCATGTCAAGATAAACCACAAATCACGTCATCACACTATGTCACACTGAGATACAGTACTAAATGTGACCAACATCCAGCAGGTCCAGCAACACTCTTTCGGCCTATCACAGAGGTACAAACACTTTGTTTTTTTTAGCCATCTTCAAAGTCCACAAACACTGTAAAAATCAAGGCTCTGCGGTGATGCTCTGTTGAGTACACAATCCTGTGCATGTTGACCAAGTGGTCCACCAGCCACCCCTGCACCGCTTGTTCCCAACAGGAAGAGCTGAGTGCGAGGCCAAAGACGTCTGCTTTACAGACTCTCTAGGCTTTTGTGCTCCTTGATGGCGCAGCAAGCCGTATGTCCAACCATCAAACTCAACGTCCGTTCCTCAAGGCTTGTGAGATTGGTGTTGATTTACGGTCCGTTGATACATTGCTACGTTCGTAGCATCTTGGCATCTTGTAGCGATGGCCTCCAACCTAATAGCGATGGCCTCCACCTAGACCCAGTACTAGTAGAAATGCCAGGAGCTACTAGTAGCTTCTTGTTACTAGATGCTAAGCTGCGACTAGTCGTATGGCCAGGAGCTACTAGAGCTTCTTGTTACTAGTAGCGATGGCCTTTGTTCCTAAGTAGCTTCTTGTTACTACTATAATTTTTGTTTTGCGTATTCCTCACCACATAAATGATCCGTTGGTTTATGTGTGTCTCTCGTAGCAAAACACATCCCAGTCCTGGTCGAGAAGATTTCCTGGGTGGTGTTTTGATTCACGAAAGGTGGAATCTAGTCGCGAACGATGCTGAATATGCTTAATATGTCCTTGCCTCTCAGGAAAGCTCCACATATATACCCCGAATGCACATACACACCCACGAAGCAACAGGTGACCATTCCGGGCATATGTTATGTTCACCGGACTGTATCAGCACTGTTCTTGGAGTAACTTCGTCTCAGGGATACAGTATGTTTTTTGCTTTTTGATGGACTGACCCATGTCCATCAATTTGTCAGATCGTGGGTGCCCTGTCAATAAGTGCACTTATTGAAAACAAAAGCATGTTTGCTGGAGTAATGTGGACTGATTTCGAAAACCACATTCTAGACCTTCTTCATATGGGCAGTTTATGGCAGTTTTATCATTATGAGTCTATATGGATCGAAGGCAAACGTCGCAATCGTCTACCCGAAGGAGACGGGATTAGAGTGGAGCGACGGAGTGATCTGGTGGTCTAGCGACTTCTGCCCATTACAAGAGTAACAAAGGGCATCGCTGCTAGGAGCAAGGACGCTACTAGTAGCTCCTGGCCATGCTACTAGGAACAAGAAGCTACTAGTAACAAGTGCATCGCTACTAGTAGCGATGCACTTGTTTCTAGTAGCGATGCCCTTGTTACTAGTAGCAAGGAGTATGTACAATATGTAGGGAATAACATCCGAGACATTCCCAAGGCTGTTGAACAAACCCTAATTGGTGTGCATGCATTTCTCTACGCGCATATCAAGCCCTCCCACAAAGTGTCAATGTGGGTCTAGGTGTGCGTTCAAACGAGGGACCCTTTAAATCCACTGCATCGGTGCACTTTCCTAGCTCCCCACCCCAAATGCAGCAAGTCTCCCAAATTGAACGCCCGGGAAGTAGCCCTTGGGCAATTCCAGGAAGGTCGCGTCTTCATGTGTTTGTAGCATGGAACGATGTCTAAAATAGTGGCCGAGAGACCGTGGCAAAATGAAGAATCCAACAAAAGCTCACACATAGTTGGGAAACAGCGCAGGCGGATTCCTATAATCAAATCAATGCCCAAAAGGAGCTATCCAACATTATCCAACCCAAAGGCCTTGGTACTACTAGGAACAAGAAGCTACTAGGGGCTCCTGGCATCACTACTAGGAGCAAGGATGCTACTAGGGGCTCCGGGCCGTACTACTAGGAGCAAGGACGTTATCTCTTGTAGTAAGGCTAGGAGCCCCTAGTAGTGTCCTTGCTCCTAGTAGCGATGCCCTTTGCTCCTAGTAGCGTCCTGGCCGATATTTGATACTTTTGCCTATTTAAAGCACAAGCTCCAACTGCAGGCGGCCTCATAGAGGATCTGCAACGATGGCCTTAATTCAGAGGCCAACTCAGTTACACATCCTTTCCCTGTCATTGATCCTATCATTGCTAGTATCTGCTATCTGAAGTGGGGTGGAATGAGACCCAGAACCGCGCAACAAAACGAAGCACTCCTCAGGTCAATGTACCTACCCAAGAGATCAGATTTGAATCCTTCGTCAATGCTGCATTGTTACTTGTGTGCCAATAGGTCTCCGAACCCTGCAACTTCATGCAACTTCAGTATTTACCATTATTTACCAATATCTGGAGGCTAAGTGGTGTGCTGCCTCTGGCTGAGTGTGTTGCAAAAACATCAAATCACCCAAGATCAGTTGCTCTGGCAAGAACTCTGGACAAAGGGACCTGTACTGATGAAGACTCCTCAATGGTCAAGGGAACGCAGTTCGTGCATGAGCATCTTTGTGTCAACCCAAGCTTTTACAACTCAAACAACAAGCGCAACAATTAACACGACGTGTTCAAGTTTTGGTGGGACGTGGGCAGGAGTGCGGCAACACAAGCAAGTGTCCTGCCGTATTCGCCCTGAGGTTTCAAACAATTCTTTTTTTTCCCGTAGCAAGAAGCTACTAGGTTGGGCCCCATTGCTATTGGGTTGGAGGCCATTGCTATGAGGTTGGTAACAAGAAGCTATTATAATAGCAAACATTGTTACTACTAGTAAGGCACCTGTTACTACTAGCGTGGCACTTGTTACTACTAGCAAAAGGCGAAGCTATCAGCGCCTAGGACCAGCTGGCGAGGCGAGAAAACGCCTCTTTTTCTACGCTTCCGCCGCGAAACTTCTCCAAACGAGGGAAGTGACGAAGTGACTGGATTTGCTGAACATCGATCCAGTCACTGGGATCCTCAAGTTGACATTACACGCCCCTTAGTAACCTTAGTATCCTAAGAAGCTATCCTAGCAGCTTGCATTGGCAAGAATTAATCAAACTTATATGCAAATCCTTCGGGATGAACATGATGTATGGTGCCTCATTCGAGGACCAAACACCACAGTTTCCTCGAGTCATTAACAAGACCAGGATTAGCACTGGTCACGTTCCATGTGAACAAAGCCAGTTGATTTCAGGGAGTGGAACTAAGTCTCATCATCTCTTATATAACTCTTCATGTTCATACAAACGAGGAAAACTTCCTTTGCTGCCTGCAGCTGCAGTCAATCAGCAAGATTTGACGGCTCGATTTACGGATTCATTTGCGCCCCGTCTCATTGGCACGGAACAATTCCTTGGATTCCTAGTCCAATCCTTGCACGCAATTGCATTGTCCAATAGCCATAAACAGGAGACCGACCGGTCGATGAAAAGGTTGTATGTGTGAGCCAGCTCAGCCAATGCTCGCATCCCTTCAGCCTGCTTCGGCACCTCAAAGTCTGACTGACATTGGGTAGGACAGTGATTCGTCGAGATATTTGTACTGCACTCCTATCAACAGTGGTCCAGCTAGCATGCAACCGAACACTTGCAGCTCACAGGCAATTATTAAGCTCCAAGTCAACTTACCAGCTTCATTTGCTCATCAAATCACCTTGAAATCACTTCATACCACAAGGTACCCCACGTTCATTAAAAAAAGAAAAAATGTTTGCAGATCAAACATGAAGCTTACTTGTGCTCTCTATCAAAAGACTTCAGAAGAGAGCTTGTTACTAGATCCCCAGGATTGCACACAGTCTCACCCTCACCAGTCTTGCTGAACCCTCCATCCTCGCCTCAGTAAGTCGGCACCACGCTGGCACGGACCTTCCGACTGGCTGCCTCCTTGGCGGAAGCAGTGATCGTCATAGAAGCTCGAACCTTCACCTTCCAAGCCCTTCAAACCAGATCTAAAAACCTGCAAAAAAAGATGTAATATCACGACCGGAGAAGGGAGTCGTACGTATTAATTCATGCATGCTCATCACAGTCTTCTAGAGCTGTCCCGTGGAGGGCCAAATCTGATACACAAGCGGTGGACATCGGTACTCAGCGGCGGCTCCGTATTGGGCCATCAACATCAAGGTAATTAGTCTGTTGGTGGTATGGCCCAACAGCCCCAAGAACTATCAATTTGTTGTAGAGTTTTTCAGTCCTCAACATGTGAGCCAAAGCCATCATGGTAGTAATAAATGTGTTATCTTGTCAAACAAATCAAGCGCCGAGTGTCTCTCTTCAGTGCCAATGCTTTGGCCAGATTGAGGATCTTCTGCGGGGAGAGCACAGTCCTCATAAGCGAACATTGAACAATCAACAAATCATCAATTCAATAGACCAAAGACGACCAAAGAGAACCAAAAGCGGATGAATGGCAGCTATTGAATTTGGCCCAAAGAACGATAGGCTTGTCGACTTTGTGTCTCTAGATTGTGCGCTCTGCACAAAAACGCCTACCTGCTGCAGAAACAATTGGTCATAAATGGACACGTATGGAAGACATGAGCTGCGGACAATATTGCTTTGTGTCATTTGACATGATTTGACATGACCATCGATTTTTGGAGTCTGACAGTCTGAGTCTCAATTGTCATGATCTCTCTCAGTCCGGATCTCTCTCACCACTCCCCTTCGGCGCCCGCCCTCCGGCCGGTCTTGGCACCTCTTGGCCGCAGAGAACTTCAGAGGCCGCTCTGGAGATGACAAAGCAGGTGTGAAGCAGCGCTCGGCCGAGGGGTCTAAGATGGAGAAGTCACCTGGCTGGCAAGACACCTCCGAAAGGAGCAGAAAGCATCGTCTTTCTGAAACTCCTTGCAAACTACAAGCGTCCAGATCCTAATTAATAGTAATTGACTCATTTAAGCAAGCTTATATGACTTGTTCTGAGGGACCACATGACTAGGAGACTCTCTTCCGGACCACCAGGACAACCGCCGATCAAATCAAATCTGCTGTAAAGCCTGACAGTAAAGCCTGGACCCTTGCGTCTGGATCCGATTTGCCTTGCTCCACCCAGAATCGCACCAGGGATCGTCCTTGTTCTGTATAACCTACAGTGCCCGCAAAGGCTTTCTACTGGCATCTGCAAGCCACAATCAAAATGACGGCAGTTGTTGCAATGTGACCACAAGGTGCAATACAGCAATACAGCAAGTCAATGCAAGTGATATATCACGACGCCAACACCCAAGTGATGGCACAAAGGATAAAACATATTCGTCGGCGCCATGAAGAAGCTAAGGAACGCAGATGCTCAAATTCCCAATCTGGCATCCACGAATACCTGGGCAAAGACTGATCTCCATTTTCAAGGGGGATCAAGGTGCACCAGGACAACCCTGCGGCCTATGTCAGCAAGCGAATTTGTGACCTTCAAGGACAACCACATGCCACGTCAGTCATGAGCGATCCTCCCAACGATGACCGAGGATCAATGAAACCAAACAACAAATCGATATAAACACTCGTCAAATGGTTTTCTAGATTTGCAAGTTCCCCAAACTAAACCCAGAAAAAAAGAACACACACGAGCTGCAGTCCACGATATAAACGGGATTCTTCTATGTCTCAAAAGGTTCGAGCGCAACCGTCAGTCGCCTCTGACTCCCCTTCTCAGTCTCATCGTCCAAGTCACAAAACCACCTCCTCAGTGCCAATGTCCTGGTGGAGATGCGGAGAATCCGCTGGTGCGGCGAGCGCTGAGATGTGGAACCTGGTTCTATCATGTTCTATCCATGTGAGAGAGCGCCAAAACCTATGCACACAAAAGCGGACTCCACATGTTGGTATCGCTTTTGGTTGTTCGCTATATCGCTTTACAGTGTTTCGGATGCCTGTGTCAATTTCATTCATAGATATGGGATGATATGGGTAGAGGCGGAGACAAAAGAAAAAGAGAGAGAGAGAGAGGGAGGGAGAGAGAGATAATTCTTTACACGGCAGCCCTTCCAGCCCCAGCTTTTTTTTCTAGATGGCTTTTGGTTGTTCTATATCGCAGATATCGCCGTACAGGATTCCCTCATGATTTCTATGCAAAAGTTACTCTCACAGAAAGACTTGTGACAGGACCCTGTTGGCTGTTGCTCATGTCTTGATGTTGATCCCATGAGGCTGTCAGTGGCATGATTTTAGGATATTTTAGGTAAGCTGAGGGCAGCGTTCGGATCAGTTGGCATCAGTACAGCGCAAGAGACCATGCCGGGCTTATAGTTCCAACAGCTTCAGCTTCCGAATGCGACGCCTAAGACGCATAGTTGCTAGCGATTGACCTTCCACATCCTTCTGATGGTTCTCAGGTTTCTACATGTTACTATGGACAATGGACACTCCTTCCATGTTACAATGCCAAAGGCGACGCCTAAGACTGCGACGCCCTTCAGTCCAGGTCAGGTCCTTCTTGAAAGCAAAGATGTCGGGTGGCAATGGAGGCAGTGTGAAGTTGTGAGCCCGCCGAAAGCGATCAGCGAGACTGTTCTGCTTGGAGCTCAGCTTCACTGGTTGACCGCCCAGGCGAGAAGGAATGAACTTCCTGGGTCAGTTGACCCTATCGGTGAACCTGGTTCGTAAGAAAACCAGATCATCGCATGGTTCTATCCTTCACCATGTCGTGTTTCTTACTCGCTGATACTAAATCTAAGGATGCACGGCCATTCAGTGGCCAAAACTGCGCATGATCTGAGGGCTCATAATATGCAGTTCAGTCTGTACCTGGTGAACAGCGAACCTGGTCGAGTGTTCGAGTCGAGGATGTGAATAAACCCAACGATTTGATGATCTGGGAGTAAATAGGAAACACAAGGGTAAGCTGCTAAGCCGTAAGTCCGCTCTCAAGCGAAAGACTGGCACGGCCACAAAGACACATACGGATAACATGAAGGTTGAATCAAACTCAGCTCAAAAGCAAAGAAGCACATGCCAAAGGTTCAATGCAATCTCCCCTTGACTTACTTATATATGTGCATGTGAATGTGCGATGCGCTTGCACCTCAGTTCCCCACACACTCACACAATGCAATCATATCTCACTTGACGGGATTGACATGTCTCTTTTGCTTTCCAAAGGTCACGTGCTTGGC